GATCAAACCCAGTGCCTCACACATGCTAGGCAAGTGCTCTGCCACTGAGCTACTGTCACAGCCCTTGACTACTCTAATTGTTTTGAAAAAGTTTAAATGGCTTGAGGTAAAATTCACATTTAAAGATTACAATCAGTATACTTTTTTAATATAGTCACATAAGTTTGTAACTATCACAATATAATTTTACCATCTGTCGCCCAAATGTGTCCATCTATTAGCAATCACTCCATTTTTCCTATTACCTCTAGTCCTAAACAAACACTAAACTACTTTCTCATCTCTAAATTTGCCTTTTCTGGACATTTCATATCAAAGGACTCACACAATATGTGGTCTTTCATAATTAATTTATTTCATTTGGTGTGTTTTCAAGTTCATTTCATGTTATAGCATGTAACAATACATCATTCCTTTTTATTGCCAAATAGTATCCCATTGTTTATATATACCACTTTTTGTTTATCATTTCATAATATGTGGATTAGCTCCATTTTTTGGATATCATGAATTCATGTACAAGTTCCTGTATGAACACAGAATCACTATATCATATGGTAACTCTGAAAGTGAAGAATTGTCAAGACTGTTTTCCAAAGTGGCTATGTGATTTTATAGTCCCCCCAATGATGTATGAAATTTCCCATTTCTTTGTATCTTGGCAAATGCTTGTTATTATCCATTTCAGTGGCTATGGTGATATCTCATTGTGGTTTTAACTTGCATTTGCCTAATGACTAATAATGCTAAGAATCTTTTCAGGCACTTATTAGCCATTTGCGCATCTTCTTTGGAGAGACATCTATTCAGATACTTTTACCATTTTTAATTAGATTATTTGTCTTTTTATTATTGACCTAAAAACTGCTCTAATTTTTAATCACTAGGTAGAAGAACTATTTTCAAATGAAAAGGTCACAGCTATCTTTGCTTATACCTTTTCTCTCAATCAAACCATAATTAACAAAACCAATTAAAAGTTAAGTTTCTCCCCCAAAATCCAACATATCTTGTCATATTCCTATACAAGAAGATAAAAGCTAGCCCATTTAAAAAAAAAAAGAAGAAGAAGAAGAAGAAGAATGAAACAAGTTTTCAAAAGTTAAGAAAAATATACTTAATGTTCAGCAAACTTTTTCATCAAAGTTAGAATTTCTTCCTAGGGGAAAAAAGGAATCCATGTAAATAGGCCAAGTGACCTGCCCTGGGTCACCATTTATATATCTCACAGTCTGAATGGTATCCACTGAAACTCCCCTGGAAATCTATTGCTTAATATTACTGACCATATGAACAGC